GAGAGGGGAAGGGGGAAGGAAGACCGGCAAAACGCGGTTTCCAAGAGACCGGCTCTCGAAAGACTGACCTCTGCACCAATAACACATTCTTTGTATACCGCTGAGTACCCCCTCCCCCCCTCTCGAGTACTCCCTGGCAAAAGTGATGCCCCCCTACGACAGGTTTGTCAATAACAACTCGTACAGGGTTCGTCAACGATGCTCTGGAGTGACGATGCAGGCTGATCGGTGCACGGCAATTCTTCGCATTTCAGGATATTGTTGACGCTCCCTGTAATGCTCCTAAAGCGTACGTTTCATTAGTACAGCAGGGCTCTAAGTGCGTCTCTCTCGCACGCATACGGATTAATACACTTTTTCTACTACCTATAACTATACTACCTTTAACTTATAACTATAATACCTATAACTTTTTTGAAAAACTCGACAAAATGGTGTCTAGACACTGTATCTGCTACGTACTTATCTTGAATTAAAAAAAAAAACTGTGACGGTGTAAACGATGGAACGTGGAGATGTATTTACCAGAGCTGGTGCAGCTAATCCGTGAAGGCCAAGAAGTGCATCCAGAAGACACTCAGGTGGGCACTGCACTAGGACACAGCACTGCACTTCCAGAACACTCACAGAAAATCTATAGAATTTCCTGGATATCGCGAGAGCAACGCGAGAAATACACGAGCGATAACTTTCTGTACCGTTTCGAAACACAGCTAGAAAAATTATCAACGAGATAGACTGCTTAGATGATAGCCAAATTCGAGAACTAATCATTCTGATTGTCCGATTTGTCGAGATCCTTATAACTCTTCCTTTCCCTCATGCCGTCCCTTTGAATCAAGTGGAGAGCGTTCCTTAACAAATCGGTACTTAAGATTTGAAGATCCTCCACGGCGGCTTCCCTAGGACATTGGGCGATAGCTGGGTACCACATCTTTAACTCGGGCAGGAAGTTCCTCCCCTTGTCGTAACGAAACCTTATCTCCGGCCGCTCTACAGCCCTTTGCTCATCTCCAGCGGAGCGCCAGCATCTCACCCGAGCTTCTGCCGGTCAGTGGAGACGTTTCCGTCGGGTACTCTCCTCTGCCGGGCAACTCGACACGTCGAGACTATCTCCCCACGGCAGATTCGAGCACCTGGACGTCAACTAAACAATAACAAAATCTTACGAGAGCGTTGGCATATCTATACGAATCAACCCGGGAGCGTAGCTTCTGAGCAGGGTGGTGACTCGAAGGGAACCAGAAAGCGAAAACGTTATCTGTATCGGTAGCCGGAGTCGCCTTGTGACCGTGAATCGAAAAATCACGGCACAACACTTACCCATGTACCAGCGTATAAATACATCTAAAATAATTGTGTGTAGTGTATTGCGCTAAGTATTTTATATAAATGCTAAGCAATAAAATGAATTTATGGGAACAATAATAATTGATAACGAAAAGACAGATAAGGGTAGGGATAAGCTCAAGACACTGCTATGACCTTAATTAACGTCCCAGTGGCCCTGATGATATTTTAGATAAAAATCGAGTACGACTGCCACCTCAATTTTTGGAAAGTACGCATTTTAACGGTATTGCGTAGCAGAACTATTTTTAAAACCTATCAGGAACTATAAAACTCTCCTAGAACTCTTAAAAAAGCTTATTGTTGAACATTGTTCAAAAATTGAGATGCTACACGGGTGTCAGCTCCAGCATTGCAGCACTTTTTTAAAATCTCTTAAAAATGTTTCAACAATAGGCTTTTTCAATAGTTCTCGAGGAGTTCTATAGTTCCTGGTAGGTTTTAACAATAGTTCTGCTACGTAACATCGTTAAAATACGTATTAAGAATACTAGTCGCACCATACGCTTCAGTGCAAGTATGCATAAGGAGCTGGCTTTCAGTGTTGTTTTTCGATTGTGCTTCAAACAGTTCCGAAATAGTTCTCTCAAGTACTCAATGTTGGGACCATAGTTCCGCTTGGATCTATTGTTGAATAATGATGGAAGCTAGCACCACATCGCTGCACTCCTTAACGCAGGCAGGCATAAGGTGCTGGCTTTTGACAGCACCTTAACAGATAGTCTTAGTAAATCTTGTCGAGCATACACTGTACATTTGAATTTAAGATTACAAAAAAAAATATTTAGGCAATATCTGATAAGCGGCCTCTTTCTAAGGGTTGCTCTGGGAATCAGTTGTAAGTTGTGGAGAATCTCTGCCCGCCAGGCTACCCGTTCGTGATCACGTTCAACTCGGCTACGACGGGATATGCATTATCGACGGAGGCGATGATCACAAAATTCTATTCCCGGACTCGCCGCTAAGATTTAGCGCCATATTTTTGGTATCGCCTAAAACCGTAGCGTTGTGCATCTCCCTACTGATCTCTGTTTGAAAAGCTCTGAATAGCTCTCTTTTCGCCACCGCATAATGACGGCTCGATTGACGTCATGGCAGATACACGTGCGCAGAAGTTAATCAATGGGTTGATAACAGTGGGACTCAAAACCAAGCGATGCTTCCCCTGAAAAGTAGCTGCTACCTCGAGCATTGTGATTCTTAACGAGTTTAAACCATTCCGAGTGTTAAAATGATCACTGGTGCAAAGTCTGAACGTGCTGCGTCCACCTAATTTGCATGGTAATGTGTCAACTTCTAAACACGTTCTTGACTTGCACGACTTCAGTAGAAACAGGTAGGATTGTCTTTTGAAAGACAAACATGACTAGCGAACTGCCCAGACTCTGTGAGAATGATGATTTCGACAATTCTGATGAGAGTGAAAGACCTTCCGGGGAGAGATGGGCCCCGGTTGGAGCAAATGATGGGGATAATGACTTTGGCGACGAGTTCAAGTACTCCAACAGCATGGAAAAGTATGTTGTCTTTTTTCTTTGATGATCTTGACAATTCAATCATATACTGGATTTATTTTTTAGTCTATCCTGTGACATGGACAGGCTCAAAGTTCTCGAGGAAGAGCAGGAGATGCTTAATTCATCCCTGATTGCTCTAACTACTCACTTTGCGCAGGTAGATTCATTAATAATAGTTAATGATTTTATTGTTACATTCATCATTATTTTTCTTAGGTCCAATTTCGATTGCGTCAAATTGTTGATGCTCCAGCTGAAGAGAAGGAGGGTCTACTTAAAGAATTGGAAGAGTTTGCCTTTAGGGGAATTCCTGATGTCCCCAGTAATCTACCTTTTGAGAGTCAACGGATTACATCGACTTCTCCACTGTCCCAAAAGCAAAGTGTAAGCCAAAAAAGTGTGCACTGAACACTATAGATATGGAGGTCCTTTTTTCAAACTGGTTGTATTCTATTTTGCTTTGCACTACTACTTAGTACTACTTATGACTACTTAGATGCAATATGTATTTTCTTAATTGAATCTTTTGTTTCTTATTTACACTTTTCTGCTTGCCATCTATACCTTAAATGTTGCTTGAATAAATACTCTTTATTTTCGAGGCTAATTTATTTTTTTCAAACCTGCTCAGTTTTTTGCATGTGATATCCTTTCTTTCCAAGAGTGGCTAAAAGTATATACTTTTTTTTTTCAAAATATACAGGACCTACCAAGGAACAGCATTTATCTGTATTTTTTATGGTCTTAATTTTGAATGACTGTTACTTTGCACTTTTAAGCTGCCTTGCGCTACTTTATGTTTTTACTTTCCTGGCTTGCGTTTGTTCCGTTTGGAGAACATCACACGACAACGAGAGTCATGAATTCAACAGAATGGAGCTGTATGTGACTTGGAAGTAGAGTCTAAAATGGCAATGCAGAGATCTAAGCAGAGAGAGTTAATAAACCAACTGAAGTCGCAATTGGAAGATCTTGAAAAGTATGCCTATGAGACAGGAGGGGCTGATTTGCCTCAGAGCGTAATAATGGAACGTCAGAGTTTAATAATAAGTAAGTTAATATGTGACTGTTGTGAAGCACTCAATAAAACAGTTAATGCTTCTTCCAGATCATCTTAAGGAAAAATTAAACTTCAATGTGGATGATCTCTGTAAATTGCCATTGGATGATTTGCGTTGGCAAGTTGACTATGCCTTCAGTCAGGTAAGATACATAACATTGAAAAATTGCTACCTTGTTCGCACAAGATACAATAATGCTGAATAACTCTCCTTTAAGATTGTCAGTCCACTCAAGATGAAGGAACAACTGGTGTCACAGTTGAAGACTCAGATCGTGGACTTGGAGCGCTTCATCAATTACCTCCAGGGTGAAGTTAGCACCGATAGCCTAGCCTGTACCTGTGCCTGTCCTGTGCATACAAGTGGATCAGCTGCAGCCTCTTCCTATGCAGGAAGATCTTTTCAGAGGAGACCTCTGGAGGAGGAGGATCGGACTAAGACTCTGAACACTGTCAGAAAAGTAATGGCGCTACTGCATATGTTTTTGATGTCGCAATTGGGTTGCGGCAGTGAAAGGATACGCCGTAATTTTAAGAAAAACTCGATGTACAATTGGCGAGACCTAAGGGCCAGGTTAGATATCGCTGTAGAACACGTGCTGGAAACCGTCTCTGAGAGCAATTCTCAAGAGCAAGAGGATGAGGATGAGGCAGTCGATGATAACGACAATGATAATGATTACACCTCTGATTCGGATTCTCCCTCGAGTCGATGCGATGCTAAATTAACTTCTGCAGTCAGAAAACATCTGGCAGTTTGCATTCGTGACTTGATGCAACACGGCTTAACGTTTGATCGACGAGCAACTAGTGTTGTGCCTTTTGTGGGTTGTTTTCCCCAAAGAGGTCCCACGTCTAGTAGTTCTATGCACGCCTGGGAACTCATTTTAAAGTATTACGAGATCAAGAATGGGCATCGTTATAATTCTAGTCCAGCACAAAAGCTTTCTCAAAGTTTCAACTTGGATCTTGTTGGAGAGAGTTCTGTTTCTTCTAAGCAGGTACTAGTTTTGTTGTCTTCTTTTGTTCACTATGTTTTTTTCTAATCTGATGAAATTCTTGCAGAGTTTACTGACGACCATTGGAAATATCATAGCTTCTCACACGCCCTACAAAAGGAGTCACGATTCTCATTTCAAAGCATTCGTTTGTGCAGCGCTAAAGTAAGTGTGTCGTGATATTGTATAGACAAAATACACCGAATGTAAGTTGTTCAGTTAAAGTGTCTTCTTTGTAGCTTAAAGAAGTTGGTGGCATGGTTAAAGCTGATCCTACAATGTCAGTATTTATTGGAAAATCACTACACGTCCTGGAGTTATGTCGTCAAAACAGGTATATCAAAAAATAGCAATTATTCTACATACAGAGAAGCTTTATTCCAAAAACCTACTTTTTCATTCTAACAGGCTTTCAGGATGCTTTTCACACTCTCGACCGATTAACCAGTTACAAGTTCGATTTGCCCGTCGATCTGGCTGTACGACAATTCCAAAATATAAAAGATGCATTCTGAGTAACTGTGCTTCGAGCGATTTCGTTAGGCGATTCCAGTATTCATCAAGACAACACTTATATTCATTAAGAGTCGAGAGACTGATCGTGTTCAGGATTCTGGCCGGGACGCAATAAGATAAAGGACAAACGTAGGTAGAGGATAAATCTCTGCACCTTGTGGAAGGTTTTACTGGGCGCATTGAACTTTCTCCACTTTAAGGAAATGGGTAATAGTAATCAGGAATGTATTATAATCAAAGGTGAAAATGAACTGTATATCACGAAGCATAAAGGGTAAACGTTCGCTTTTTATAAACCTAATCATTTGAAAAATTAGTTCCTTTAAGAAGAATGTGCATATATAATATATTTATGAAGCAAAAGCGCCTTCTCCCTCATTATCCCACAGTAAGAAATGAATGAACGTGTGAACCAATGAATTTATGCAGTACAAACAGCCCACGAACAGATAGGAAATTGATTTTTTATTTCATACAAAAGTTGTACATCCGTAGAGAAGTCCGACGGCGGCTTCTGCCGTCGCGTCGGCAATGCAATAGCACGTAAATAACGTACATTATTGTGCGTTGCCAATACTTTGCATATAAAATTCAGAATAGTATACCACATCGATCTTAGCCATAGATACGAACGCGTCCAGAACTATACGACGTCAATAATGAGGGGTTGGGGGATAATAAAAGTAAAAAAAATCGGCATCTTGGTGACTTCGCTATGAATACTTTTACGACAATATACAATTACGGTAGTAGTGCATTATTCATTTGACAGTGGTGAATCTTCATCTGAGAGAAAAGATGGCGGCGGAACGTTTCAGTTTTAATGAGGCGCCGTCTTTCTTTTCTTTTATTTCGTGAAATGCATTTACCACATGTACACACGTACGTATATATAATATATATCTCTCTTATTTTCATTTAATACGCATTGTTTCACCCGAGGATGATTCTTAAAGGTATTCGTAAAGTACCCGCGCTAACTAATGTCGAATACTGTCTAAACTGTTCAGTTTACTTCTTTTTAGTTATCAAAGTACATAGCAGTCTCTTTGGAATGATGTGGTTACTGGTTAGTGGCAGTGATAACAGTGACCTGTCTATGATGGCGTACCGAATACGCGAATACTTTTTGAAAACCCACCTTATACTATAGTATGTATAACAGTAACGCAATATATACCTAACGTCATTTTACCCAAATATTTTCCAATAGCGTGTCTTAGTCCGTTACTACATTGTGCGCCTTCAGTTACTTCATCTTATTTTCATTCCTTTTTAGGTTTTGTTATAGCGACCCTCTTGCATCTAACATCTAACGTTCATTTAAAGTATAAATAGATCTCGCTTAAGTATAAAAACACTTATATAGCCAAAACTTACAACATGCACGATTATGCCCTTGGACTGCGAACGCAATGGAACTTTGGAAAGAGGTAAAGCCTGTGTCACAGCTCCTAACGAAATACACTATTTACAAACGAACATCAAACGCGACTGCGATGGATGCACAATTCGATACTGAAATTCGTATTTCCCATAGGCCAAACGAACTAGTTGCTCTTTGTAAATGCGTTTGCGCGAAATTCAATGTTGCTTAAAAAAGTTTAGCCTCGTTGATCACACAGTTTAAAAATTAGGCCTAAATCTCGGCTTTCTTCGATAAAAAATTTTCGACAAAAACTTTGGTCTGCGATAAGAAAGCTAACGACAAATAAATGGTCTCTCGACTAGCTGCATACTTAGTGTACCTCTGCAATTGACGGTATGGATGGGACATACCTTGGAGGCAATTAAAAAGGGGCGGAAGGAAGGAGAGAAAGAGAAAGATGAAAAAAAAATAAGAAAAGAGAGAAGCTACCTTTAAACATGAATGCGCAGAGGAACGCTGTCTAGTTTGTTCTCGCTGCTTTCCAGCTCATGCTTGATAACATCCAGAGTCTGGTAGATGGTCCTAAAGGTTGGCCTGTCCGAGGGTCTTCTGTTCCAGCAGAGTTTCATCAGCTCGTATACAGACTTTGGCGTATTCTCCGGACACTGCAGTACGTTGCCTTCTTTGATGTACTTGACTACCTCCTCATGGGTCATGCCGTAGTAGGGCTGAAGAGCGAAACTGAAGATCTCCCAAAGACAGACGGCGAAGGCCCATACGTCTGACTCCACTGTGTACTTGTTGTACAGTATACTCTCTAATGGCATCCATCTCACCGGGATGGCATCCTGCTCGTCGCCTTTGTAATAGTCTTGAAGGTAGATCTTCTGCGAGAGGCCAAAGTCTGCTATTTTCACCACCATCTGATCGTTTATTAGGCAATTCCGCGTAGCCAGATCTCGGTGAACAAACTTTCTGTCGGATAGATAGACCATACCAGACGCGACCTGTCTCGCTATATTTATGAGGTCCATGTGGGAGAGACGGGAGTCTGTGAAAGTGCCGTCCTTTTCTAGACTTCGCACAATATAATTTCCTGGAGAACAGGAACGCAGAAACTCGTTCAGGTCGCCACGACCCATGTACTCAAATAGGAGGCACATGGGACGTCCAATTGCACAGACTCCTAGAAGCTTCACGATGTTTGGGTGATCGAACTCTGCTAGGAGACAAGCTTCCCGTTCAAAGTCCACTAGCAGATCTTCAGAAGCCTCCTCCTTGAGCATCTTGACAGCGACGTTCGTGAATTCCTCATCTGGTACCAGACCTGGTGCTTTCGCTTGAAAGACTCGACCGAAAGCACCCTGACCCAGATCCCTTACGTAGATGATGTTGTTTCTTGGAAATTCTAACTTCTCCAACTTTGGATTTAGTTGCGCACCCGTTTTATGGTACGCGTCGTTGCTGGGTAGTTTGTCCAGGTCGATGTTGACATCCTGTAACGTTGCATTCTTCTGCCCTTATCCAAAACATTCTATTCTAAGTAAAAAAAAAGTACCTGGCTTTCTGTTGGATTGTATCCTTGGTGTGTTTTATGAAGCCTTTGGCATAACAGTACGACGAGTAAAGCACCGACCAAGATGATGAACCCCACGGCGGAGAGGATCATTACAAAAGTAGGCGTGAAAAATGTTTCCATAGTCAAATCTTTCGGGTCGATTTCTACCACCGTCTCCGTTGAATTATCTGTATCGAACAGCAATAAGAGATTCCGGAATTACGAAGTTCAAGGACGTTGACCACGAAGTGAATGTATCGTACCACAAATTGGAATGTCACAGTGTTCCCAGCGGATCAGCGGATCCATAGTGAAGCACCAAGGCATGGGTTCATCGCCGCCTGCATTTCTACAATAATTTTCTCCATAGCGGATTTGCGGAAAGACATCCGGCGGTTTATCGTGGCTGTGCGGCTCCTGAACACCCCAGGATTGACAGTTGCGACCATATTTAGTTTTGTTTTCCTTCCCCAAGTAAAAACGGCCATTGCCCTTAACACAGTCATCTGAAACAGTCGTGTGACGTATTCTCGGAATCTCACAGTTTCATGCAACATTATTTTTAATAATAACAATAATCTTACAAGTGATGAGATCCACATTTATATCAGTCAGATGAACGTGAGAGCAAGTGGGTTTTTCCTTGCTAATCTTGGGCAGCCTCTCACACTCTGGTAAAGTGAAGTGCCCTCTGGATCTGATAAAGATGTTTCTTTGCTTATTGTCTTCTATTAAGGCCCAGTCGTTGTAGCAAAATTGATGCCTCACAGCCATGCAGTCCTCGTAACAGAGTGGCAACGCTATAGAACCTTGACATTGTGGAAATGCATAGAAGCAAAGCATTTTCTCAGCTGCAGATCTACATGGCTCTACTAGTCTTTGTATCAATTCTTCCCAAAGGTCTGTAGTTATTCGTTCATTTTGCCAGCCTCCGGGATTGTCATTGGAATCATTAAACCAGACTTCCCCGATACCTGTGAGGTACTTTTTACAGATCTTACCATTATACGGTGCACAGTAACCATGACTTTCAGATTCTACAATACATCAACATTTATATAATAAGGCTTTGATAAAATAGATTGACTCGTACTTACTGACTTGCACCAAATTGAAGCCCAAAAAGATAGCAGCCAGAAGGATATCCCAAAGCACCATGATATCAGTATCAGTGTATTATGCTTGCATTGAAAGTATTGTTATCATCTTCTAATTCTGGTCTAGATCATCTGTGTGACAAATGCAAGATATTGCTTCTAGAGTGTCTCATGTTACAAGCAAGACTAATGCTTGAGGACAGCAGAGACTTCAAATTTATCCCATACAGGAAACCCCCTGTGACTCATGTTGTTCAACCACACCTTGCCAGGCGCGCTAATTAATTGTTTGCAATCACCACGGCTTAATTACTAACACCTTCATAAACACTATGTTCAAGGAAGACGTCGTCTGCGTCGAATAATGAAAATACACAAGGAACGAAGTGTCTCCGGATCGATTCTACAAATCTGTTTTAAGGATTATGTTTATCTTTGCTCGCGATCGAGGTTATACCAATAAAAATATAGATTTACCCGTATTAAACGCGAAACATTCGCCAAAAATTACGGCTTTTCGCTTTCCAAGTAGTTGCCGTCATTCAGCACAAGATGCCCGATACTCCTCGTTCGCCGACATTTTAGAGAGATCTGGTTATTGTAGATTAAACTATTCGCTCTTCGTAGGCAGTCGTACACCGACACCATCTTCGATATTGGTGTTCGAAGATGTGCACCACGAATCTCTGCAGGTGCATCGTTTTTCAAATCATTCTATTGTATCCGGATGGGATTCATTACGCTCTACAGCATCCCTTTGATCTCGAGGTCTAACCCGATGACCTCTCTAATTAATGGAAGTAAAAAGCGGTTTGGTTTCAAGGTGATTATCATTTGAAATGCTTTCGAAATAAATTTGCACTAGAGCGCATAAAGATCCGGTTACCCAGTCCATTCAAAACGCTTCAGATTGTTTTGATATACTGTTAGCTTTTGTGTTCCATCCAGAGAGGACCAAGTTAATCAGCAATCACTAGCTGTCAGGAAGGATCAGCTATTTATAGCGTGAACAGAAGTAAGTGCCGTGATTGGCCGAGATTCACTGATTGTGTCGTCTTATCCAGTGAGAAACACTGGCAACCATTGACAACCGACTTATGGTTGCTCGTTATAACGTTGCGCATTGACCCGTACTTCGGATTGGTGGACTCCCCGTTACAATTAGACAAGATTTTTAAAACAAATATGCTGCTGCGCGCCATTCAAGCATTCCACGATTACATCTTGATGGGTCCGTGGAACGTGGTATGTGAACTTTGCACTTGCATCCAATGCATATCACGGTTGGACTCTTTTTCCGTGTAATTTCCTCCTATTGACAATCTACTGTTAATTGTTGATAATCGCGTCGATATGCTATGTGTATATATACAGGTTAGGGTGGAGTCGTGTGGTATCGTAGTTGTTTGCGCTCGTAGTGAGGGAAGTAGTACGTGGAGTAGTACTTGCGTAAGCAGAGGCGCTCAACTTTGGTGACCTGATCGTAATAAGGTTATGGGATTATATTCATAGCCAATTCACAACCAGGTACGCCAGCGACACCAGTTTGTCCGTGAAAATATCCGACGCGAAACTACACGAAAATATCCTGTTTGTCACCTTTAAGGAGGAACGAATACGTAAGAAATGCATATGCATATATTTGCTTGATATTCTACTAGACGAGGTGTCTTTCTAAAAATCAGTGAGACAAGTAGTAGCAGGTGAGGTTGACTGTCAAAAATCGCCATTACTTATTTTGTAGTAAAGCGCTTGGCTTCCAATGATGGCGTGGAAAAATCCCCTAGGAATTCCTGTCGCCTTCTTTGAAGATTTCCCTTGATGGCCTGGGGGCGCCGACGCCATCTAACTTGGCCAGCACTACTTAGCGATGGAGAACCACTGTTCCCGGTAGAGTAGGGGCGTCGTTACTGCGTGCAATGTGTATCGTGTAGGCGTTGGCGAGGAGGCGACTCGTCGGGGATATGTCCGTGAAAAGCCCCAGGTTTCCGTCTACTCCGTAGCACGTGTACTGTTGAGACTTCATCTGGAGGAGGGTCTCCAGCCGTCGAATTGTTCCGTGTTCTTCAAGTGCCGATCTAAGGACTGAGACAAAAAAAAGTAAAAAGTGCCGCGGGAGTGTTCCGTATCCCGTTCATCGAAGCCACGTAACGTAGCTGGCCAAGTTGAGCAGCAAGAACGAGGATCAGGAGGATCGGAGAAAGAAAAAGTGACGCCGAAGCTGCTTCGAATGGTTGAACGATCCTGCGGCTAGGCGAGGCGTCCATGCTGTCCGGTTGATTCCCAGGTGCCGCAGAGATCGGTACGTTCGGTTTCTGGCTCTGGGAGATGTACGGAATATTTAAAAGGGACAGTGGTGCGGGAGCGGGATCGGGATCGGTTTGGTCAAGCTGCGAGAAAGAATTTTCAAGATCAAAGGATTTTCAGGGGGCAACGTGGAAGAGGTCGATCACGTTAACGGCAGTGACGGCGACCCTGACGGCGACGACGGTGCTAGTGTCTGCGGTGTTTGTGCTAAACGAATCAGCAACCCTCGCGTGAAAATCCGAGCTTTGCAGTGCATGTGAATAGTGTCACATAGTCACATAATATCACAAAATCACATAACAGTGGAGAAAATAAGTGTGATCTAAGAAAGAGAAATCGTCCTTCCTCCAAGTTCAGTTCCTTGGACGTGAATGTGACAGTAGCGCGATATCGCGTTGCCAGATCGCCGTGGAAATCATCCAGGAGGCGCTGCACGGCCATTGACATCGGGACGCCGGAAAATTGTGAAAAGCCGCGAGGAGCAAGACAGCAATATAAGTAGTCAGAGAGGTAGAGAAAGAGAGCGAATCGTCGAAATGACAGGAAGGTACGTGGTGGTTCATGGATTCTGTATAATGGATGATAGTACGTAGTAGGTAGTAACGAGGACGCGTAATAGGTGGTGCCCGAAGAGGGTGTGGGTGTCTCGTTGTAGGTGCGTGCGTGCGTGTCGTGCGAGTACGCACCCAAGAGAGCCCGGAGAGATCAATCGTCTCTCCTCAAGCGTCTTTAAGGATCAAACGAGTTACAGAGCACGCGCCGTTCTTTATTTTACCGGCAACCCGTTCGTTCTTCTACTTGAATCGTACCGGTTTGTGCGATTCTCATTTTTCCTCTGTTATTGCTAATCCTGTCTGCTTTCCTGCTCCAGTTTTTCCTCCCTTTCCCGGACTCGCTCGATGCTTAGTATACACATTAAATAAAACTTCCTCCGGAGCCTTTGCATCGGAAAAGCAAAAAAAAAAAAAGAGTAGAAACATTGAATTCCACGTCTCATGTCACTCCACGATGACGTTCGCGCCGGATCTAAGCTTAAGCCTCGTTTATGCGATCTAATCGCGACACATCGTCTGGCAAAGACACCTGGCGGACATTTAAACCAAGATCTCGAGGTCATCGTAGTCCATGCGTCAATGGAGGTGGGTAGAAAGAGAAAAAGAAAATCATTCAACCCAGTAACCTTAAACTTTTAAAAGAATTGTCGTACTAACGTCCAAACTTCTGAACACGAAAATGCCGTTTGCTTGTTTATACGGCAGCAATAGACAGCGACATTTTCTTTTATAGCTCCCAGCTAAATCTGTATCATTAACATTTCTCCTTGCAGCCTAAAGGCTCGATTTGGTCTATTCCAAGACTTGTGGTATTTGGTAATGGCTCTAGAGCTCTGCAATTGGTTACGTGGCCACTCGAGTTCTCCATCCTTCTCGTTCCCATTCCCACTCACTATACTCTTCCTACTGTTACTTCTCTTGCGCGACCGCAAGATGCTTCGAACTCTCGTGGCTTTAATAGGATTTCGTGTTTCCACGATGCACTGAAACGTGAAACGATGCATCCTATGCGTTCCTATAGAGTGGACAGAGCCATCTGTATACTTGGCCCCGTGCGGATCAGAATCTGCTACACATCGAAGCACGTGGCGCGGACTCACGGTCTCTCCTCGTGAAGAAGATCCTGACCGAATCTCCGGCAGCGTTTTGGGCTCCCATCCAAACGATGCTGCCGTTTTCTCACACTGACAGCAGCGGGATAGGCAGAACGATGACAATGGAAGATGTTGAATGCACCGGCGTACATCCAGATGATAAATTATTACTGGAATCGTTCCCGAATGAAAATACCCTGAAGATTCCACTAATATCGAGACTGCTAACTTATTACCACCGACGTTACCACGCTATCATTTATGTGGCGAAATCTCATTTTTCTTGCCTCCATATCAATTTCACAACCCAACTTCCACCGTAGGATTTACGAGCTTTATTATGAAGCGTTAATGACAACAGAGTCTAGTTTCCCAATAAAGCATAGTAGTCTACTGCGGTATTAAGGACCTTTTGCTTCCCCTTGGCGGAGCCGTGGGAGGTCGAGGGAGGCAGGAAGGTTCTGCTGGTGCCACATAAATTCAAAGTCCTTTCAATCGTCAAAATTGTTTCGATGGCAGCCCTGGCTCGTTTAACGTCTCCTTAGCTCGTCCTGCCTGCGCTCAGCCGTCCCCTCAGCCCGGAGTCCTCCCCAAGGCACGATTACCAACCCCATCAGCCTGGCATGTTTTGCCTGTGTTCGAGTGGCCTCTCTTGTACTTTGGCATTGTGGGGCGCAGAGAGAGGTCGTGCCATAAGAATGCCTGTCCAATGTGGGCAGAGGCCATTCGCCAGCTATAGAGTAGTCCCTATAGGTATAGATTTGGTCAGGATGGAGAGCCCATTGTCCTGCATTGTCATCCGCAGTTGTATAATGCTATAATTAACCTGACTTCCTGTTTGTTATTTGATTTGGTTTTGGTTCCGCCTGTAAAATCTACAACCTCCATCGGGATCGATCGACGCCATTAAGGTCTTAGCTCTTCCTCGATACCTAAGTAGTCTACACTTGCTGACGATTTTCATTAAGAAACTCTTTTGCTTGTTGTTTCAGGTGAGATCGCTGCCGGGTCAGGACCGAGTAAGACACTTCAGCTGCTATGTCAAACAACCAGCTGGTTGACTCCTGTCTGTGAGTACCTCCAGCCTGACGCACCATCTCCTTTCACATCCCCCTGTGCATCCTTTTGACGTCTCTTCATATCTCATGGCATTGGGCTGCTAGTGTATGCATACTCTAGACTCAACGGATCCTGGGCTCCCCGTGGAAGACGCCTCCGGTTCTCGGTTGCACCACTGCACCACGATGACTGCATAATGCACACACAAAGAGCCGCACCTATCTTATCGAGCACCCTCTTTCATTCTCTCTCTCTCTCTCTCTCTCTCTCTCTCTCTCTCTCTCTCTCTCTCTTTCTCTCGGGACAGAACACACACAGAAGATAAAAATCGAGCCTGCCTCGGGCACCCTCGAGAATTATCGCCGCATTCTACTTTCGTCTCGAGGGCGTCAATAATACGCGTCGCGACGGATCCGCGCGCGTCCGGCCGCATTGCCAGGATTTCAATTGCTCCGGAACTTTTCAATTTGCATTTGAAACGCTTGGCTGTCCAAACTTCTCGCATCGCTCGCATACGGAGCTGCTCGGCCGAAGCTCGTCACTCAAAGTCGACAGCTGTCACTGGACGAAGGACGATAAGAATTTTCTTAGAGTGAGAGAGAGAGAGAGACAGAGAGAATATATTAATTTAATTCGATTAAGACCCCTTTTCTGGTGCTCGTGGGCGATCAAATTAATTTCCTCACTGACTGAGTCCTTAAAGTCATCTGCGGCTCTCGCGTTTCCTTCCACTTCGTCCGCAATGTCTTTATGTAATGTGCTTTAGCCTTAATAATATCAAATAGATGATAATGACTTTACTAACTGGCTGTACTCATGAAAATCAGGCTGGTGAATCGGCGGATTGAGCAGAGGCAGGAGCACAACATAACGCGCACTGAAATCACACAGAGGTGACTAACACGAGTTAACTCGATGGACGCTCGACTCTTCACTGAGGTTCAGTCGGGTCTTGATCTTCCAATCGATGTTCGTACACGATTTAGGTTAGGTTACTTCAGCACGGTTCGTACTTTAAATTCGATTTAGTCGCGCGATCGGCTAATCGGTCGGTTGTATTTTTAAAGATAAACTGAGTTCACGTATTGAGCCGTGTCGGAGAAATGGGGAGTTCGCTTAAGATTTTTCTAGATATATTAACAGGGACTGTGATCTCATTCGCTCCTCAGTGAATAGTCTGGCAAGTAGAGTAGCAACGTCATTTCTCGACTTCTTACACGCCTTCGTTGCTTCATCACTAGCTAGTCTCTTATTGACATTTCTGCATGTTCCCAAGCATTTGACTCGTTAGTCTTTTGTATTTCGTTATTTTATTCCACGCGAAGTTTTACAGCTTCTCGTTTTCTCTAAAGCGAGTTTTTACTTTCAGACGAGTACTGCAAGAGAAAGGTCCCGACATGCCACAATACACGTGAGTATCCAGAACAGGCCGCGTCTCTGGCCGCATGACGCGCTATGACTAATTTGTGTCGATGATTCGATGATTTTCAGTGGACAGAACGACACCGATTACCATGGAAGTAATGGACAGGCGGACAGTCATTCCCTGCACTCGTCTCACCTCTCGGTGCAAGAAGATCCTCTTCTTATTAGGACTCACAAGCAACAGACGTCCCAGCAAGTGCGTATTCCTGCATGAGTGTGTACTCAGGGTAATTGGAGTTGATCAATGTGCTCAATGTTACTTCTTTCGATGCAGGTTACGACCGTGACGAAGGTCGTGCGCGAGGTCTCGCACATGGAACCGGATCCAGGTGCCGTGAGCTACATGTCCGTTCCTCTGATGTCGCAGGATTACCAGCACGCGGATCCTTGCTACGCGGCAGATCCCTATATGGTCAGCTTTGACCATTATGATCCTTACTTGGGATATCCTCCGCAGCCAGGGTGGGTTCCTGGACCCCATGGGATCTATATGCCTAGACCACATTCACCCCACAGTCCACACAGCCCTTCGGAGCACAGTCACGCCTCTCCGCCACACGGTACGTCCTCTTCACTTCTTCACTCATTCTCTTGCCGCGCTGTCGACGCCTGATGTCGCTTGTACCCGAGTGGGTAGCAACCTTTCAATGCCACGAGAGAGTCAATGAAAGAGCTGCTCCCTCTGTTCGCAGAATATCTACGGAAAGGCGCGCCGTACTTGGAGGGTGGCTACAATGACATGGACCCAGGACTGAATCCTGCTCTGCAAGACCACTATCGCATCACTCCTAGTCCAGGCGGCCCTGGAGATCAATATGGTAAATTTTTATGAGGACCTTTCGCATTTTTATCCCTTTTCCCACATTCTTCCTCTCTCCAACCCGCTCATTCGTCCACGTCATTCGCACGATAAGAATTCCTATCGGATTCGAGCCGGGATGTTTACCCTGGCGAGGCTCAGTGGGGGGAAGCGTTATGCAATTTTGCTGACTAGCGAAAATCCTTCGCGGGACATTCCTGCCTCGAGCGACGCGCCGCCTGTTGTTGCCACATACGGGCACGTTTAATATTTGAGACGCGCGGCGACCCGTGTTTCATCTAAAATCTCAGCATATATCGTTCACTTATCTCCTCAGATCGAATTAGCAACTCCTGGAACATGGACGACTCGGGCGAGCCCTCTCAACATCCTCACGGTGAGTCAGGGATCGATTTACTACGAGGCTGGGTCAACATCATCTTTCGAATACTCTTGACTCTGAAAGACCTATTCTATCCCGTTCTGCACATTATTGCCCATTCTAAATCGATCGCTACTGCCGGTCTGCCTACCCTTTATATCGCTGTGACGTAGTCGTTATCGCGCTCACTGATAGCAACCGTTATCTCAATGATATCGAGAATATTGAGAATTATTTTAAAACCGCATCAAGGAATCCATAATGGCTTCTCGCCTCTGACCGGCTCTACACCTTCCTCTAGGTCGTCTTTCGACAATTAGTAATCTACGAATTTTTCTCCTTACAGACGAGGGCAAGGTGGCCTATGGTTTTGTATCACCGTCTCCATATGGACCAGTTGGTTATGGCCCTGGTGTTGGGGTTGGTCCAGTCGCAGTTCCTGGGGACGTTTCCGGCGGATATGAGGAAGGTCACCCAGCGCCATTATCCACGAGTGTTCCACCAGGTATCTTCGAGGACGAGGTTCACTTGCAACGACTACAGAGTCGGCATTCAGGAGTTCCTGGAATGGCCAGCCCCTTAGACGACGATCAAAAGTCCATGCGGTGGCGGGATCCGAACTTGTCAGAAGTTATAGGCTTCCTGAGCAATCCCAATAATATAATCAAAGCGAATGCAGCCGCATATCTCCAACACCTCTGCTACATGGATGATCCCAACAAGCAGAAAACACGGAGTCTCGGTGGTATTCCTCCACTTGTCCAACTCCTGGATCACGATAGTCCCGACGTCTACAGGAACGCCTGTGGTGCCCTAAGAAATCTCTCTTACGGAAGACAGAATGACGAGAACAAGAGGGCTATCAAAAATGCCGGCGGTGTTCCTGCTCTCATCAATCTTCTACGCAGAACGTCCGACGCCGATGTCAAGGAACTGGTGACCGGGGTCCTCTGGAATCTCTCATCTTGCGAGGTAAGTCACGTATAAATTGAAAAATCTCCCTCGGCGAGCTTCCTCGATCTACTATGTCATTGTCAACGACTTTCAGGACCTCAAGAGATCCATCATCGACGACGGGGTCACGATGGTAGTCAACAATATCATAATTCCGCACAGTGGATGGGATCCAAGTTCTTCCAGCGGAGAAACCTGCTGGTCCACAGTATTTAGAAATGCCTCCGGTGTTCTGAGGAACGTATCCAGTGCCGGAGAGTACGCAAGAAAAAAGCTGCGAGAGTGCGACGGGCTGGTCGATGCTCTTCTCTACGTAGTGCGTTCGGCAATCGAGAAGTCGAACATCGGCAACAAGATCGTTGAGAATTGTGTCTGCATCCTAAGGAACTTGAGCTACAGGTGTCAGGAAGTCGAGGATCCGAATTACGACAAGCATCCAATTCAGTCCGCTGTACAAAACAGGGTAGCGGCGCCGGCCAAGGGTGAGTTACTTCACCCACCGATTCTCTACCCTCTGATGCACTAGAGTATGAAAGACAGAGTGTGTTCTTCCTTGTCATGGTAAAGAAAAATCGGTCTTCGTCGGTGGGCATGTCTTGAATCAAGTGCATGCGATTAAGTCGTGCCTTTGCTCGGCGAGCAGTTATGTCTTTTCTCATAGGGCGGCCATTATTTCGCTGTCAGAAAAAATAAGCTTCATATTCGCTCCTCTCGTGCAGGAGTCTCAGTGCGTCGCTTGACAACTTTCCACCACAGAGAGAGAGAGAGAAAGAGAGAGAGGAGCGCGTACGTACCGTGCAACGACATTAGAAAACCGTTAAGGCTAATTGTTAGAAATCGCGACAACATCATTGTACGTAGAGTCAGACTTTGTTTTTACCGTCGGCTTCCCGTCTTCTCCTCGTTCCCACGATTCGTGAAGGCGTATCCCGCGATTTAGGCTAGTACATAGAGCTAAAGCAATCATCCTAATCACCCGAACCTTAGCATGGATTATAAAGTCTGTTTCATTTTTTTAGCGTACAGTTTATGTCAAGGTAAGACACTATTGTAATATTTTCGATAAATTAATGTTACCTTGATGATCAAATTAAATCTCGGCCGCTCGCTCCTTTTATCATTTCGGCATTTGGACACGCCTGTCTGGAACGCACGTATTCCAATTGCCACTCTACGATCATAGATACATACATCACCCTTGATACAATTATATGGAGAAAAAAAATGAGCCCTAATTTTCACACTCGGCCTACTCGATTGTCACGTGAAAAGCACGTGCGCGTCGTTCCAGCTTAAGCGTGGCTCGTGCCCAACCTCCTGCGCCATTGACAACCTCAATTGGATCCAGATATATTAGTGCATTTTAGAAAATCGCTTATGTAGGATTTCTCTTTTTTTCTTTCATAGTTTGCCTGATAGATAATAGTTTGAGTAGAGTCGTGTGCGTTTTCATTTGATATTACCGTTGTTAGCCAGTATTTCGTCCTGATATGTATCATGATGTAGTCTTAGTGATGGAGTTCAAGCCTGGGGTATCAAGGTAAGCCGCAAATTGAAACAATGGGCAATAAGATTGACATTTGTGCTTCTGCGTGCAACAGAGATTAGAAGCACTGCCTAATCTTCATATTTCGATGTTCAAACGGAGAATCCCATTAGGAATGGATATTCGCGTGATAATCTTTATCTTGGATCTTAGTGGTTCCTTGTGAATGAGTGAGATTCCTCTGAGCTTGTCTCGTAGGACCATGTGAATATTTGAAAGCCGCCGTAGCTACGAGCTGGGACGTAAATACGTTCCCCGCGTGAATGCCGAGTGCAATCTCTGAGGAAATGTCGAGGGAGACATCAATTCCCTTAAGTTTACAACGCAAGATGAGGAGTATCCTCATCAAGGAAGAGAAGTTTATTCCTGGATTTCTTTGCTCTAGGTGAGAACTTGGGTTGTTTTGGGGGTAGTAAAAAGAAGAAGGATGGACAACCGGTTCAAAAGGAGGCGACAACGTCGCGCACGACCAGTCCTAGAACGGAACCTGTCAAGGGAATGGAACTCCTATGGCAGCCGGAAGTCGTTCAGTCCTACCTGAGGCTGTTACAAACCTGCTCAAATCCGGAAACCCTGGAGGCTGCCGCAGGAGCTCTACAAAATCTCGCAGCCTGTTACTGGCAGCCTAGCATTGAGATTCGAGCTGCAGTGCGAAAGGAGAAGGGTCTGCCCATTCTGGTGGAGCTTCTGCGAATGGAGGTACGTTGTTGACAGCATCTTCAAAGAGGTTTGCCTCTTTGGGTGTCTGCTGAACGCTGTTGGACCTTTCCTAATTATCTTTATTTAAGGTGGATCGTGTAGTGTGTGCTGTGGCCACGGCTCTCAGGAACCTCGCGATAGATCAGCGAAATAAGGAGCTCATTGGGAAATATGCAATGCGTGACCTTATCCAGAAGTTGCCGTCAGGAAATAACCAGCACGATCAGGGTACGAGCGACGACACCATAGCCGCCGTTCTTGCGACTCTGAATGAGGTCATCAAGAAGAACGCTGAATTCTCGAGGTCCCTCCTAGACGCCGGGGGTGTCGAGAGGCTCATGAACATAACCAGACAACGTCAGAAGTACACACCGCGCGTCCTCAAGTTTGCTGGTTCGTCATTCGCATCGTTTTGCTTTCTCAAGCACAGTTCATTTTCGCCATCCGAGAAAAACAACGGCTAATCGAATGCTGCTTTACCAACAGGACAGGTACTCTTCACGATGTGGCAGCACCAGGAGCTCCGCGACGTCTACAAGAAGCACGGCTGGAAGGAGCAGGACTTTGTCACGAAAACAGTTGCGGCACGTAACTCCGGACCGAATTCACCAAACAATGCGAACAGGTACTTTTCCTTTAATTTTCATCGACTCCGCAAAGTCTCCCTTGCCATTTTTTTTTAAATTATCTTTTGAGTTCGTGGGACTCTGCGCGCTATTTTTGTTCCTCGCTCCAATTGAACTTACTGGCTGCACTGAAAGTGTCACGCGCAGAGTCCTAAGTCGTTTCATAAGGACTCGACACTATGTTAAGTGTAGCTATGATTGCAGTACCCTCAATCGGCCAATGGCAAGCCAGGGTAGCACGCGATACGAAGACAGGACGATTCAGAGACCCAGTCAGAATTCGAACAACGTGGGGCGCCCCACGATCTACCAGTCTGTAAGTATTTTATATCTCAAGAAACGTCCTCATCACTTGCGTTCCCAGATCGAATCAACCTTTTGTTTTCACTTTTGCAGCAGAACGAGGAGATTGGAATGTCCGACATGCAGTATCCGAAACAAGGAGGACACGCGCCGCCAGTGGGAGGCGTTTGCGTATTTCCTGCCAACCCCGTAAGTCATTAGACTTTCGACATATGCAACCCCCTAATTGGTCTCGTACTATTGTTGACATTTATTAATTACCCTGATACACGTGACATTGACCCACAGTCATAAATCCACATACACACAGAGAGATACAATATTTAAATTTTATGCGGGATGACAAAGGGTGATGGGCATTCGCGAAAACATTCTTCCTGTGCACCGTCAGCCAATGAATCTTGAGCGACACACGTTGCTGTGTTCTAATAAGTAAATAAATATAAAATATATAAGTAACGATAGGAAATACTCATTGAACGAGCGCGACGGCGGTTTTTTGCAGCGAATTAAAGTAATCGAAGACGTGAACCAAGTCAATTAATAGCGACGTTGATAATGATTCAGTCAAAGAATAATTTGACAGTAGCGAATTCGCAAGCTAAGGTCGATGCAGGGTTCATTCGTATACATACACATACACGCAAAAATAACACACGAATTAAAAAGGCGTTTTTGCCAGACCAAGTAGGTTTACGTTAGTCTTTCTCACGAATCCTTTTTTTTTTTCGAATATGGTATTTGAAGGCGAATCAGGTAACATGTGCCAAGAAGGGCTTTTTTTTTTAATTTTTCTTTAATAGAACGAACAAAAATCGTTACTTAAGATAGGATTCTATTTAAATTGTAGATAGGTTTTAGGTTAGGTGAACGATCCTGTTAGTCTCATAGAGGGTTAGGTGCCCGAACTTAGAAGATAGTAAGTTTTTTTTACAATGAAATGAAATTTACCATGGACTCACGTGAATTGTAGTCGACCGCGCTATAAAGCCGTGGCGACGTTCGACCTTGATACGGAAGGAGCTCCATTAACTGCAAGACTATAAAGAAAGGAAGGGATAGACGTTAAGTGGGATTGAAAGTGATACGCTCTGGGTGCCGAATCACACGCGTTAACATTCTAACGACACCATGGCAGACACACGTCACCATACACGTTTAGCACTTTCGAGAGCGCGCGGTGGTACACCTACACTTTCCGGAATGATAGTATTCTCGTCTCTGTATTATCATATACAAGTATTCATTAATTGTTATCTATGGTTAACCGAGTTTTTGCTTTTTAATTTATTCATCTAGACTAGAACGAGTTATTGTGTAATGCAACGTCAATGGAAACATGTACATCCTATATACAATTATACATATACATATACATATATACAAATACATATATAATATACATAATGATTTAATAAAAACGTACATCTTTTTTCTGTGAGGAAAAAAAGAAGGAATACAACGGAGAAAAAAAAATTGTGACCCACCATTCTGCATGCCGTGTCATATATATTTTTAAACAGCTCTCTATAAACATATATAACGCGCTCGATTCTCACTTGACTCATGTGGTGGAACCGTACCACGCGCGGTTCGCCATTTAGATCCTGGATCCTGGATCCTTGAGATATCTTCGTCGGTCCTGGAGTCGTTTTTCCCTAGGGTGGCGAGTGAGGATATAAGGGCGAGGGTACGACCAAGTATACGAGGGTTCGTGGGTGGGGTTGTGCGAGAGGATATCATCGGCAGGGATAGAATGCGGAATGCCAAGATGGCTGCCCGGACGTTCGTTGAAACCAGCAATGCAGATATAAAAATAAAGAAAACAAAAGAGTACACGAGTCGCGAAACGAGTTCTTAAAGAAAATCGAAGGCGAGGCAAGAGAGTTAATGAGGAAAGAGAAAGGAAGTAAAGGCGAGCGGAACCAAAAAAAAAATAAAAAAATTAAAAAAAAACAAAGAGAGTAGAAAAGAAAAAGAGAGAGAAGGCCCCGCAATCGCTCCTGGCGGATGCAATGGTACTAATGTTGGCTTGTGTGTGTGTGTGTTGCAGCAGCCAAAACCCGGTGAGCCGCTCTATGCGCAAGTTAACTTGGAGAAGAAAAAGAAACGGCAGTATGAGCTGGGGGTGGGTCAGGGTCAGGGCGGTCAAGGTCAGGGCCCAGTCGGGTCGGTCCAGGGCGTCGGTGTCGGAGGTGGTGGAGGTTCGCAGTGGGTCGGCGATGACGTCGGCGTCAGTACTGCTCAGGAATCCCCGGCACCGGCGGCCAACGTCCCTCCGAGTTCGACAGCCGCGTCCGCCGGCGACTCCTGGGTATAACACGCTCTTGGGCCGGTCGTCCTCGCGGCTGCAACTTCACGGCCAAAACCACCCGACCGAACCTAGACCGCCTGCGAAATCTAACTACGAGGTCATCAGGCCGCCGCTTCGCGTAACTATTGCTGGTTTCTTCGTGAGACGTTCGGGCCACATGAACTGAGGTACAGGGAGGCAGAGAGAGAGAGAGAGAGTGAGAGAGAGAGAGTGAGAGAGAGAGAGAGAGAGTGAGAGACTGTGTGCTTGATGCGTGCGAAGTGAGTATGGCCAGTAAGAGGCGATGGACGTTGATCCGAAAGTATTCTGTGACGCCCAACAACGGAGAGGAGCAACACGAGTGTCAAATGCGATGCAAATGGAAGGTAGATAAGAGGACGTAAAGTTTAAAAGTCGTTGGCGTCGTCGTGGCCGTCGCTGAAGACTTTAAAGGATTGTCAGTCAATCAGTGACACAGTGCGCGGCTGAGAAAGCGGAGGAGACGTCAGAGGACTTTCCCAAGAGGCAGCAGCAGCAGCAGCTCGTCCGACCACATCCGCAGCAGTAGTTGCACTAATGGCTCTAACTTTATTGCACAATTCTAAATTAATATATAACATAAGCGGCCGGGGCCGTGCGATGCGCGTGTACTGATTATACGCTATTGTAATTTCAAGTCTTTTGCGTAGACACACAAAGACGCGCGCGCGCGCGCGCAGACACAAATGCAGCTACGTTAAGATACACATCCTCGTTAACTGGGAAATGCGGGCGCGCAACTATATATATACATATAAAAATACAAATATAAATATATATATACACATACGCGCGCGTATATATATATACATATACATATATATATATATATATATAGAAGATAGTATATTATATATTACATTATATTATATTATTATATTAATATTATATTATATTATATATGTAAACTCTCGAGGCTGTGGGTGTGGCAGGGGACGGTACTTGGCAGACTGCACCGTTGCACCGTTGCACCGTTGCAATACGTCTCTATTTAATAGAAGATATAAGGAAGTCTACGATATGATATCTAAACACTATAGTTTTCGAGGGAGCGCGTAAGTGCGTGATAATGCCAGCGTGCGTGGATGCATCTATGATTGCGAGAACGTGACGTATGTGGAGAGTGCGTAAGCCAGGGTGTATCTACGGTGTGTGTAGTACATCGATACGATTATCGAGGCTAAGCAGAGACTCGATGCACTTTGCATTTGGAATTTGGCATTAGACACATATGGTATACTGGGATTCGTATTGCGCGTGTACAATTATCGGATCTAGTGACGTGCGAGATGTGCCCTATGATTATGTCCCGCATTCATAATCAGTATGCGTACACGTGCGTATTCGCATACGCGAGCGTTAATACTAAGGTGTAGGGATGAGAGTGCCACACAGTGATAGATGAAATTAGGGGAGAGACCGAAGGTCGCATAAATTGTTAAGGCGAGATTGACGAGGAAAGAGCTCGTGTCGAGTGAGCGTGGTCCGTAGGCGGTTACGAGTAACGAGGCACAAAGAGAAAGTAAAGTAACGTAATATCTAATGTAATTTAATGTAAAGTAATTGGGAGGAATGTTAAGGAATGCACCAGCTAATCAAAAGCATCGCCGCACCCTTCGCAATCGACTTCTGAATCTCGCGCACGTCCAAGGGACATCACTCACGTGGGGAAGGCAGCGAGGAGACAGCCAGCAATCGCAGCAGCAGCAGCAGCAACAGCAAGAAGAAAATGAAGAAAGGGGATAAAAGGGAGAACAGCCGAGGAATAAGAAGAAAACCGTGAAAAATTTTGATAATTGCTTATTCTTTGTGTATTTTGTAAAACCGCGTTTATAATTTTCTACAGCGCGAGAGAGACTGTGTTTTCCAATTGTTGTACAGTGTAGCCCGCGTGGCGGGAGGGAAACAATGCTCAAGATTGATGTTCGAAATTTCGGCCTAAGGCCCGTTCAGTCGATCCTTCCTTCGCCTGCTGTGCGTCGTAAATTGTATACGTGCATTGCGCGCCGATCATTCATATGGATTTTCTCCACCGCTTCTCTTCGTCGTTCCTCCACATTCCTCTTGTTCGTTCCTCATCAATCGTTTCTCATTCCTCATTCCTCATTGTATTATATACGGGCATAGGGAAGCGTGCGTGGCTCGCCAAAGGATTCGCTGTTGTTATCCTTGCTACTAGAATTAATGATTATAAAGGCGCAAGGACTGCGCTTCCACAAAGTGGTCTTCTCATTCTTGGATAATACTGTAGGTTCAATCGTATCTCAATAACAAGAACAGAAAATATGATACATTCCGAAAAAGGGGTGATAGAAGAATTTTTGGGTTTTTTTTTTCGTTTTTTTTTGTTTTTTCTTTCGTTTCTCATCCAATACCTTCTTCTATCGTCTAACTATACGCTATTTACTATTGCTACCGATACTTTTACTTATTACTACAACGGCATTGCCATGTACTCGTATTAACGACTGCGTCGGAATCGATCATTCTTGATCATCCGCGATCATCGTCCCTGCGTAAACCATCCACCGTAAAATCGATCATTATCGTTGCCACGTCTCAAGTCCACATGTGCAAATGCAAAACCGTGCTCCAAGGATTCGCCAGGTCCCCTTTCGATGACTTTTGAAATTTTGGAGTATTCGGTGAACCACAGGACGGTTATCAGATTACGTCGTGGCATAATGCATAAGCATACGTCTGCTGCACGTGCGTAACGTATAGGAGAGATAGTCTACTGTGCTGCATAAATATTTAAATAAACCGAGCATAAATAAGCATTGGGTGTACATCTTACGATTAGACGTCTTAGAGGAAGTTCATCACGCATTTAATGATTATTACGAATTAACGTGGTCTGAGACGAAGATGAAAAGCGAATGGAATAATTAGAGTCGCTGTTTATAATTGTCAGATTCGTCATTTGTTTTGTTTTTTTATTTTACTTTTATATTCCTTTTTTTCATTCTGTTACACAGGAAGCATCTTCCATGGCGGCTAGTCGAGCGTCTGTTATCGATATTTAGCAGCTTTTATTTCTCTTATCGCGAGTGGATATTTTTTTATTTTTCACCATGATCAGTATTATACCTATTGTTGGAATCAGATTATACAGGTCTTTTCATTCGGTTTATATTCTTTTTATCCTCGTCTCAGACTACTCGCACTCCCCGATACTGGGAAAAAGGTCATTGGTCATAACTTTCTTCGTGACCTCTTTACATCAGATCCATACGAAGCGGACCTGTTACGAATATTGTCATTTCATTTGATAGGGGGATTTAATTGTGAGTGAAAGTGTGTGAGAGATAGAGAAAGAGAGAGAGAGAGAGAGAGAGAGAGAGAGAGAGAATGAGTATGACTGAAAAGACAGTACTAACGAGATTAGGTTTCATTTCGACGAGACGTACTCTGTCATTAACTTTAACGACACGTTGTATTATTTATATCGCAAGAGTATCGCCGTATATGTAATTATAATAATAAAGATCGAAACAGTGTATTTGAAACCCGACTGACAAGAATTAAAAGGATTTAACTGCGCGACTTGTCTGTGTCTTCTGACTGTCCTGGTTCTCAATGGATCCTTGCAAATGTAGTCCTGTCCCTATCAGTTTATCTCTGGATAGTTCTGGCTTCCATCATTTCATTTTCGAGCACGTGGATTCCCATTGTCATCCATTAGCAAGCGTCGATAGTCCTTACTTTCCATATAAATATCAATTGAGACCGATTGTCAATATGTTGGAGATTCGAGGCAGCCGGTGCGCTCTTACTAATTGTCAATTAGAGTGTAGATTGCTGTTCGAATTGTCAATCTGTTCTCGTAAAAGGTTCGATGCGTCTGGTCGGAGTCGATCAGACTCGGTCGGTCAGCCTTCCAGCCATCTAGCCCAGTAGCCATTTTTTAGCGTTTCTTATAATTTCATGAGAATTGAGCGTTGACGGGGGTCCCCGTGAGGTTGCACTTGGTACAGTCTCAATTTCAATGATCCAGCTGGGATATCATGATCTTGAGTTATCGCGCATTTTTTAAGACAGAAAAGAGTGGCTGTTCCTTGCGAAGGAGCAGAGGGAGAGATTCAATAAAGATGGAGGTCAATTGTATTTTACGCTTGAGCGTCTGGGGGCAGCTGCAACACGAGATAAGAGAATGATGTTGCCATCGATCTCGTTCCAATAATTCTTGATAATCTTCAACACCTCAGCCAATGGTGTCTGAAGGAAAAAAAAGGAAATTCATCTCATTGCCAAATGGATCAGAGACCAAGGTAATGATAGGTGTCAGGTCCGGAGAGTTACTCAGAATCGTTTGGTATTGGACCTGGTGGGTGCCTGTTTCTTGATGCGGCTCAGCCTGGGTCCAGGATGCTGGATTTCTTTCACCAGAATGACTGTGAAATAGGATTAGGTTTTCTTGTTTCACACTTCCCTGCTCCTGGGGTAGCTACACCTACGTCCTGTCCCAGCATCCTATGTACTATAGGATACGTCCCACCCTGGTCCTCGCGCGCATCTCTGCTCTTGGCGGAGCTTTCAATGGCCATTCAGTTCTCCAGCAGCCTTCAGCCACGTCATGACGGATACAACCCAGAAGATCGACCCGGTCGCCAGTAAGAAGTCACCCGAATTGGCAAGGAAGAACTTGCAGGCTGTTCTCTTCAAGATTCAAGATCTGGGTGTGACGCGCCGCAGTCTACGATTTCTTCAGATTTATTTTCAACTTCGACCTATCAAGTTGACCTTCGGTAAAAGGAATTCTTGTCTGACCATTCTGCTCCTGTGGATACTTTACTGCTTGGCTCGTAATTCACTGATGGCTACTCGATACACCAGGGTGAGTTGTGTAGTGTCTCATTTAAAATTCAAAAAGATCTTGAGTTAATTTTTCTCGTGTTTTTTTTTTTAGTGTCTCTTCGAGTTTCCCAGTTTCACGCAGAAGATCTTCAGACCGGCAGAAGATTGTTCCGTGTGCTTGGATGTTAAAGAAGTTGAAAAATTATCTGGTGTCGATCCAGCATTCTTTGAAGAACGGTATAACAATTGTATTTAGATTATATTGCACGGTTGATTCCTACAGTTTTCTTTATGAGGATTCAACTGATATTCTCTGGATCAGCTACGCCTATTCGGGACGACCCGTAGTGATAACGGATGCGACGAGCAATTGGACAGCTCCCCAGGTCTTCAGCTTCTCTTTCTTCAAGGACCTCTACGAGGGTCAAGTATCCAATTGTCAGTTCTTTCCGTACAAAACTGAATTTCACAGTCTCCAGGAAGTCCTGAACATGAGTAGAAGTCGAGCCCAACTGGAAGCTGGTACCAAATCCTGGTACGTCGGATGGTGAGTCTTCTCAGGGGACACAGTCCTCAATTTCCTTGCCAGTTTCCAGTCAGTCCAGAATATAGTTCTGGGTTGTTTCTTGTAATTTCCAGGAGTAACTGCGACGAGAGAACCGGAAATGTATTACGAGAGCATTACGATAGACCGTACTTCCTGCCAGCTACAGCTGAGAGCGAGAAGACAGATTGGATCTTCATGGGTAGCCCTGGTTATGGTGCTCCGATGCACGTGAGTACCTGGACCATCATCCTCGTCTTCTTAAAAATATTCACTATGAAACGTTCTTAATTCGCAAAACGAGGAGATGCCATTTCTAATTTATTTTTATTCTGGCTAAGGTCGACGACGTTGAGCATCCATCCTGGCAGGCTCAGCTTCGTGGCAGGAAGCTGTGGATCCTGGAGCCACCCCGGGAGTGTCACTATGTCTGCAATCGGTTGGAGGTTTACGTGAATCCTGGTGAAATCAGTGAGTCTCTCGTTTGTTATCCTAAGAATGTTTCTGCTAATGATACTGCACTGACATCTAGTGATTCCCGGATGAACTCTACAACACCTGGTTATTTTCTTTTGCACTTACAGTTATCCTAGACACAAATCGCTGGTATCATCAAACTCTCATCGTTTCCGAGGATATGAGTATCACCATAGGAGCGGAGTACGATTAGCTTGCCAGTGAAGTCATCGACTAGGTCAAAGGAGCACCCTGAGGAATTCTCTGCGAAATAAATGATCTCGTTGCACGAGGTGTACTTACTATTTACGCAACTGTTCCCATTTCTTTGAGTGACAACGTTCTCCTCCTAAGAATTAATGACAGTGTATTTGGGCGAGAAGCCTGTTTGTAAGTTATACCGGCAAGCGGGGAGGACGCCAGGCGTCGCTTGGTGGCTTCGCCAGCAGGAAAGAAACGTTAGGACTTTGTTAAGCAGGATGGGAGAGTCCAGCCACCTTGTACTTTTAAGGACTCAAATAGGTAGGCCGGCGCATTAGCACAGCGCCCTGCTCATTGGCCGTGACGTATCCTCGTAATTACGTCACGTGCTGGGAATATTCGTCGGGGAGGGTGAGTGCGTGAGTAGCGGGGAAAGTACGGTGTGCGTGTCGAGTCGGAAAGGGAGTAAAGGTCGGTCCCGTGGCAATGGGTACGGGCACGGGCCCCTGCCGCAGATGGCTCCAGGTTGCACCTGGCGGCAGGTGGGCCCTACTCTGGGGGCCCACGCCGTTAAGGGGACTAACCCCCCACAGAAGCTTCACCCTCATTCATCGGGCCCTTTGCTCGACTCACATGTGTTCACGATCATATGTTGGCCACTGGCTGATGATCCCGCGTTCGTACGAGTCCTGTTAAAAGGACCAGGGATGGAGCAAAAGGACGCACCCTGAAACCTTCGTCTTACATCGGTCTCTTTGGGGTCACGAGGCCCTTTGGGTCAGTTCAGGAATTCTTGAGGAATTCATATAGGACATGGGTTCCTGGCGATACTGGTAAACGGATGACGGGTCTATTTTTTAAGATGGCCAAGTTTAGGGGTTGCTAAGGACTCGATTCTTTGGACGAACCTTATCGATTTTTATTGATCTTTAAAAAAATATGGATCTCCAAGAGTTTAATGCTTTTAGTTGTTTTTTTTTTCGCTTTTCTAAATAGGTCATTCTGTGACGCAGCAGAATTTTCGACCTTACTGTTCTCTAAGCTAGCTGAGGCATTATACTTAGGAGGAGATACCCACTGCGTTACGCTTATGGCGCGGAGTGAGGAGGGCCGGACGGGGTGAATGAGGGCAGGCGGTGGTGGAGAAAGCGGTCACTGCGTTTTACATGGAAAGCAGCAAGCAGCCGTGTGGGTCTAGTAGATACGCAGAGAAGTATATCTACGCCGAGGGAGCGAGAGAGCGAGAGAGGGCGAGAGTGAGCAAGAGGCACAGAGAGATGGGTACATATCGGTCGCGCTATCGATTATTTCACCCATGTGGAACTTTCCCCTATGCGCCCTTTACTCCTCCTGGCGTCGCGACGCCTCGTATAGAGCGAGATATCGACGTTACATCGCAGTTCTCGACGTCCCCTTTGCCCCGTTCAGCTCCGGTGCTACCCTCTTGCAACCCCCACTATCGCGAAGCCCGAGCAGCCTTCAGGGCCGGATATTTGGGGAGCTACCTCACCCACCCTGCATGGAATTATAAAAAATCAACAACGTCATTCAACGAATCATTTGCGTAATTGAAATTTTTCAATTTTAATGCGACCACCGACCGATGAGCATCTGGCGAGATTAAAAATTAATTTAACGAAAAGGCTTTTGCTTTTCCTGAGACTTTTTGAAAAGTCATCTCGTCTTCTCGAGTTTTCGGTATTTACGAGGCTTTCGCGCCAGTGCAATTGCTGTTGCGATTAGTGTCGATAATAATTTCAATGACAGTGCTGATCATGGGAATTGTCGCAATATCGGTTGGGCACAAAGGTACAGGGTACCGAGAATACAGAATACGTTCCTGGGCCACCCCTCGGCCCCTGCTACGTATCGAGTTCGTTAGAGATCCCCGACGCTGAGATCTCCACCCCTGACCCCTCCCGGCCACCCCGTCCCGTCTGCTACCCCGGAGTCACATTGCGATTTGCGCAACTCCGTCACCGCGACGCGCTCGCTTTCTTGTCCGCCAACCTCGTGCACGTCCCTACGTTCTCCTCAACGTAGGGGTTGACGCGTACGTGTGTGCGTCCCGGCCGAGGTAAAAGGTCTCGAGCCATCCCGAAGAGTCCCAGCATCCCCTGTTCCTCGTTATTCGGTCCGCGCTACGCAGAATTTTAATACCGTCTGCATTCGGCCGCGTATCCGCGTACTAATCGGCGCGTCGCGACGCCTTGCGCTACACGTACGAGAATCGTAATCCGATCGGATCGCCGAGTGTATCGGGAAGTGAAAAAAGAAAGTGCCCATCGATCCTGCAATCGACTGACTCTGCAAGTGAAACGAAGAGTGGACGCCGTGAAGATCGACGTCCCGACGCCCGCGTCTCTCTCGGTAGGAACGGTGAAGCGACCGGTTGGTGAGTCCTGGAAGAGTTTCCGTCTCGGATGCGGAAGACGGCGTCAGTGGTAGTGGCTGACGGTGCGCGCTGCGCACTGGTAGACATCTTGGAACGACGAGTGGCATCGGCGCCGCGACGCCATTGATTCATCCATTGACGTTTCAATCGGTCTCCACTTCGACTTCTGCCTATCCGCCTGATCAGCCACCGGATTCTTGGTGACGCGAGGACGGACTTCCGGCGCTGCGTTATCGGGACTAGGTGGGCGCTTCTGTCTGCGCATTAGCGCTGCGCTTCAGCCAAGACTCGTTCGGCCGATGCGTCTTCGTCATCGATCGAGCCGATCGACGTTCGATTGTGAATCTTAGCCCGCGCCTGGAATCCGCCGAGGACTCGTGCTCGAGTTCCCGTTGACGACGTCTTCGGCCTATTGGACCTGGTGGGACCTAGTGATTTCGAAAATAATTGACAGAACTCGTGTGTGTGCGCCCAGGAGGCAGGTGTCTCGTGCAGGTCTTGTTTACGCCGAAGGTATTGGCGTATCGAGCAACAGCGGTCACGAGGTATCGGAAAATCGATAGAAACCCGACTGACGCCAGAGTGTCGTCAGTGGCGCGTTCCCTACTTCTGTCGGTGATTGTACCTCTCGTTGTTTCCGCTGGTGCTGCTGGTGTTGCCGGTGGAAGTTGTTATTATTCTATTATATCGCAATGCCACGCGACACCGTGCCTATTTTAACGGACAATTCAGAACGTTAGTCGGAGGACATTGATTTCCAAGACAGCACGAGGAACGTGAGATAAGAATCGAGGTGAGGCAGTAAAGTATGAAGAGCATAAGAAAATGAGGACGAGGAGGAGATAGAGAGAAGAGCCAGAGGGGTTGCGCTTCGAGGCGCTTCGTCTCCGTAAGGGTGCATTCCGCGAACGTGCAAAGAGACTGAAGAAGGACTCGGTAATTCGGCATCCTGGATAGTGTCATTGTTCTGTTATTGTTGGTTGTTATTGGCGCTGGTGGTGGTAGGGAATCCGAGGAAGCAGAGACTCTACACCGCGTCCACGTAGGATAATACGAGACGGGGGACGCCTGGAGCGCGAAGAGTGACGGACACGTAGACACCCGGTCAGTGAGCCAGAGAGGTGTGTGGTGAGAGCGAGTGTGACGTGTGCGCAGGCTGCATACGGCAGAAGTGCTTGTGAGGTTAGGGGAATAAGAGATTGGGGTGTGAGGTAGGGGCGCGGGGGGGGGGGGGGGAAGG